CTCTCAAGTGGTGTTATTCAAAGTGACTGCCCTTAGCCCTCAAACTTGTTCTCAGCAGTGGTGTTCATCAAAGGGCTTCCCTGGGCACAGCAAGGTCCTGGAAGGCAGCACAACTGGCTAGCTCTGGGCAAGTTCAAACTATGCAGCCTTGATGCTACCCCTAATCCTGCAGTACAAAAGCGGAAAAAAAACCCCTCAATTAATATAGTTTTATTCCACTCCACCCCAGAGTTTCAGGGGACCTGCCCCACCCCTGCAGCTCTTTCCAAGTCTTGTGCCTAAAACACCTGATCAGGCCATGGGACTGGGACCTGCCTCTAATCAGAACAGTTCCCCTCCCCTCCCCTGCAGGCCAGGTAGAAGCTGGGGAGCTTGTTCCCCACCCAGCAACATGACCAGAGCTGGGGCGGGGGGCGTCCCCACCTATCTTCATAAGCATAGAGCTGGGATGGAATGAGTTGGGGAGCTTTTTCCCTCCAGCTCCAAACTCATGGAGATGTGTGGGGAACAGGCTCCCCAAGCCCCACCAGCAGGGAGCTCCCAGTGCCAGCTCAGCTACCATGGAGCTGGCACTGAGAGACCATTATCTCCCAGTGTCACCTCTACAGGCATGGAGCTAGCACTGGGAGATAAGGATCATCCAGCATGGGACCCTCAGCCACAGAACCAGTACTTGGAGATAAGTGTCTCCAAGTCCCCACTCCCCAGTTGCAATAGTGGAGCGGGGGCTTGGAAATTAGGATCTCCCAGCTCCTGCTCTCCAATCAGAATCTCAGAGGAGGGGGGCTTGGAGCTACCTCATGCCAGGGTAGGGAGACATAGCTCCTTGCCCCTTCATCAGCTGCCAGGGGCAGGGACCAATCCCCTTCCCCTTGGTGAACGGCTGACTGGGAGCAGAGTTGGTTTTGGTCAAGTGTCTTCACAAGTGCTAGTGCAGTAAATTTGCTACTTGCATTAGCCAATTTACTCAGCATTAGGGAAGTTTATTGTGAAGTAAGCATGTGCATATTTAGATGCACATGCTTACTTTGCAGTCAACTATGTTACTGTGCAGCTAAATGTCACAGGTAGATGTGCCCTCTGAATCTCCCACTCCTCCCACCTGGGTCTCATCTGCAAACATACTGAAGGTGAACTCTCTACCATCTTCTAGGTCATTGATGAAGACATTGAAAAAGAAAAGGCTCAAGGACTGATCACTGAGCACTCCATTTGTTACTGGCTGCCAACTATACTTTGAACCATTGGCTACTACCCTCTGGGCCCAATAATCCTCCCAGTTTTGTATCCACCTTACAGTCCCTTCCCATACTTTCAACCCATACTTCCATATCTTTCTTGTGAGAATGTTGAGGGTGTGTGTATCAAAACCTTGCTAAATTCAAGGTACTCCACATCCACATGCCTGGACTTCACTCTCCCTCAGACCTCAATCTTATCAGGTCTTGGTCCTTAGGCCCTCCTGGCCTCCATGATCTTGCCCAAGCCTGGTGTTTTTCTGATTGTGTGTGCTCCCTTAGACTTTCCTCCCTGGGTTACCCACAAGATAGCGGGACCTGAGGCTTTATAGTACCCCATACTCACTGGTGTGGCATTTCCTGAGGGCTGCCCTGAAACCAGCAGTCCCACAACACCATCCCCCCCAGCAGGGTGTAGTTTTCAGTCATTTCCAAGGACCGTTGCTGGCCTTCCTGCCCTGGTCTTATTGGGGTCATCCACAATTCAACAGAAAAATGCTAGCACCTGCCGGTGGAGCTCCTGATCCTGCCTTTCTCTCTCTCTCTCTCTCTCGGGGCTCCTTTCTCTCCCCCTCCTACGGGCTTCTCCATCTTCTCCCCCTTTAGCGGGCAACAGTACTGGGACCTCCCCTGTGTCCCATCCCTACCAGTTCCACCGGCATCCCCACTCTGGAGCCTGGCTGACCTGCGGTCCTGTCGTCTTGGTCTCTCTTGCTGGTGTCACTCTTCTCCTCTTTCTTGGGGCTCATGGTTCCCCATGCTCTGCCCCCTTCAGAGCTGTCCAAGGATGATTGTGGACCTGAGGGACTGCCCTGCATCCCAGTTCCAGGGCTCCTAATCGGAGCCTTGCAGTTCCCCAGCGGCGTCCCACCTGGTCACTGGCTCCTGCTAACCCCCGAGCCTTTCTTCTGCCTCACCTGTCTCCCAGTGGCCAGCTGCCTCCTCCTCTAGGAAGCTGGAGCTAGAGCTGGAGTCTCCCAGCTCCTGAGCCGGTGTCTCCCAGCTGATGCTCCATCTCTCTCTCCCCCACTCCTCCCCAGCTGTTTCTCTGGCCACCTTTTGAGCAGCCTGCACTGCTCAGAGGCCACGTCCCAAGCTTTCCATGATACGCAGGCTCAGGCAGCTGTGAAACTGCAGAGGCTGCATCTGTGTCAGTGTCTGTGCTCTGGTCTCCTCCCTGCTGCCACCCATCTCAGATCCTATGGTGAGTGCTGTGGTGCTTTGGTTAGGGGTCTGGGCCACACTGGGGGCAGGGTCCTGTCTCCCCTCTCACAACCATGAATTAAGAATGCAAGACCAGAAGAAATGGGGGGCTGAATTAGATTTACCAAGAATCTATCTATGGTTGCAATCAGCATATTCAGTAGACAAGTTATTATGTGGTCCAGGGGACAAGTAAAACAAGTGACTCATTTCAAGAAACTATTGCATTGCCATCCAGAACTGGGTCCATCCATAATGGAGATGGATTGCAAAGTTGTTGATGCAGTGAAGACAGTTCTGGAAGAATGGGAGGTGGACCCTTGGGATCCGAATCAACCAATTCTTCACTTTCTTTGCTCTGGAAAGCCATCAACAGAAGAGGTAAGGAAGAGTCTTCACACAGGAACAAGTGCTGGGATCATAATACCCCAGCCAGATATCTATCCAACCTCCTCTTGAAGACCCCCAAGGTAAGGGAGAGCACCACCTCCCTTGGGAGCCCATTCCAGAGCCTGGAAGCCCTAACCGTAAAGTAATGCCTCCTGATATCATACCTGAATCTGCTTTCAATCAATTTGTGGCCGTTATTCCTTGTTATCCCAGGTGGTACCCAGGGGAACAGAGCTTCACTTATTTTCCTCTGGTCCCCCCTGGTGAGTTTATAGATGGCCACCAGATCGCCTCTCAGCCTTCTCTTGTGGAGGCTGAATAGATTCAGACCCCTCAGCCTCTCCTCATATGGCCTGGCCTGCTGCCCCCTGATCATGCAAATGGCCCTCCGGTGGACCCTCTCAAGGTTAGCCACATCCCTCTTGAAGTGCAGCGCCCAGAACTGGATGCAGGACTCCAACTGTGGCCTGACCAGCACCACATAGAGGGGAAGGATCACCTCCCTGGACCTGCTTGTGATGCATCTGTAAATGCATGACAAGGTGTGGTTAGCCTTACTGACTGCTTCCTTACGTTGGCAGCTCATGTCCATCCTGGAGTCAACAATGACTCCAAGATCCCTTTCAGCCACTGTGTTGTTGAGAAGGGAGTTCCCCAGCCTATAGGTATGCTGCAGGTTCCTTCTCCCTAGATGCAGCACCCTGCACTTGTCTGTGTTGAATTCCATTCTATTCTCATCCGCCCACCTCTGCTACCTGTCCAGATCTAGCTGGGTTCTGTTCCTCTGCTCCAGTGTGCCCACTTCTCCCCACATCTTTGTGTTATCAGTGAATATGGACAGCGTGCTTTCCACGCCCACCTCCAAGACACTGATAAAGATGTTGAATAGCACAGGCCTGAGGACCAAGCCCTGGGGAACTCCACTGCCAACATACCTCCAGGTCAAAAATGACCTGTCCACCACCACTCTTTGGGTGTGACCATCAAGCCAATTTGCCACCCATCTGACTATGTAGGCATTAATGCCACAGTCTCCTAGCATGATGTAGCATCTGCTGCTCTTGGGTTTTATGGATTCATTGGAGTAAACAAAGTGGAAGCTTTCTTTGGCTGTGGCAGTGACATCAATGAAATGAATCTTAAAATCAAAAGACTTGATCTACATGGAGACTATGCAACAACTTGGAAAAAAGAGGAACTTACTGAAGATCTGTTTGATAAACTAGCACACTATGATTATGAAAGACTTCTTCTGGACCACGATTCCTTCAAACAGCACTGCCTCTGAGCATAGTTGCAAGTCTATGAATGGAGAAATTCACAATATGCACAAATTCTTGATCCAACAAATTTTGGGTGGACATCAGTGTTGGATGTTTTGGAAACTTTGACACATACTAAAAGTGTACAGCCAGATGGAGTGAAATTGCCTCTAAACAATGAAAATGGACATGCAGATGAGCCAATGAAAGTTACTGTTCTAGAGTCTTTTGAAGAAAATAGTGATACAGAAGAAGAATACCTAGATTAAAAATATCCAGGTTATGCCATTTCATACACTAGACTTTAATTTTGAATTGACACATTTTATTTTACTTAAATCTGTTCCATAATCATTTGTACCTTTGTTATTAATGATAGTAAATGTGCTGTTGAAGAAATACTTTGTAAAACTTTCCATTTCAAACAAGTACTCTTCTTCTGTTGCCAAAAAAGTGGTCAATATTGTTGATAATTCCATTTAAAGGCTTAGAACTGCCAAACAACAGGCAATTACTCATCAAAAGACAAAACATGTTTTAAAGGTATTGCAGTATCTATTTAAAGTCATTTAGAAAATTAAAAATAAGCCTCATATAGGTACTGACATGACATTTATTCATCTCATTAGTCATAGCTGTAATTTTTAAAGGTGGCAGCCAAACACATTTAAAAAGTTCCCCCCCAGCTAAATTTCTTCCTTAGCACCTCAATTATGAATTTCAACAGTAAAGAAATGGCCCCTCCCCCAAAATGCACTGGCTTTATATATATATGAGTGGACTATGCCCAGGCCCTGCTGAGAGACCAGGAAGGTGAAGGCCCCGCCCTGCCCCAGGCTGCACAGGCTGCTGCACTCAGGGAAGTCAAACCAATTTGTATCTGCTCTTCCCCAGGATCAGAGGAGCCATGGCTGCAGGAGACCTGGCAGGGAGCTTTCAGGAGGAGGTGACTTGCTCCCTGTGTCTGGACTATTTTACAGATCCAGTGATAACTGACTGTGGGCACAACTTCTGCTGCACCTGCATCAGCAAGTGCTGGGGGGAGTTGGAGCCAAATGTCTGCTGCCCCCAGTGCAGGGAAACGGCCCCACAGAGAAACCTCCGGCCCAACAGGCAGCTGGGCAATATGGTTGAGTTGGTGAAGCAGCTGAAGCTGCAGGCAGGGAGGGGGCCCGAAGGCCAGTGTGTGTGTGAGAGGCACCAGGAGGCTCTGAAGCTCTTTTGTGAGGAGAATGAAGCCACCATCTGCGTGATCTGCAAAGAGTCCCGGGAACACCAAGGTCACAAGGTGGTTCCCATTGAGGAGGCTGCCAAGGACTACAAGGTAGGGAACAGTTGTCCCAGGGTTGGGAGTCACAGTTTCAGCCTCTCTGCAGTCAGGTAACCCCTGTGTGTTTGCAGGAACAAATTCGTAGCTGCCTGGAGCACCTGAGGGAGCAGAGAGAGGAACTGCAGGGCCTGAAATGTGCCTGGGAGCAGGAGAGTGAAAGACTTCTGGTAGGTGGCCGACACGGTGAGGGCAGCGGTGGCAGCAGGGGCAGGGCGGGGGGGTCTCTGTGCTGCTTAGTGTCTGTGCAGTTTGGAGGGGAGGAAAGATTTTCAGGGCTATGGCAGTGAAAGGCTCAGTGTTAGATTTTAAGCACTGCAGGGCCAACTCCATTCTCCTTTTCCTTGTGTAAATGAGGAGTGGGATCATGTGAGTTTACACCGGGGTAAGGAGCGTAGTGTTTGGCCCTGCCCCCAACTGATGGGCAGGGAAGGGAGGGCCAGTGTAACTGCTGTGCATTAACTGGTGCCAGTGATATTGGGGTGGGGCCAGAGGAGGTGGAGATTTCTGCTGGTGCTGGGGTAAGTCCTGGAAGAGGTCTCTGCACCTCTCTTGGGGGTTCAGGCACGGTCATTGGTTGAGGGGAGGCTCGCCTTTCATGGATGAGCTGGGGCAGCACTGCTGTGTCATGGCCCTGCCCTGCAAACCCCTGGCTCACAGAAGCCCAGCTTCAGCCAGAAGGTTTGAGTGGCTGGGAGCTGGGAGAAACTCCCCTTGCAGATAGGAAGGGGCACATCCCTTCAAAACACCCTAAACTGCACCCTGGGGGACTGGAATGAGGGACTCTGTGCAGCTCAGAAAACACTCGGTTCATTGTTTCATAGTTTCAAAGTTTTTAGGGTCTGGAATGGACCTTACAGATCATTGGGTCTAGCCCCCCTGCAACTGGGCAGGAAAGACTGGGTAGATCAAATGACCCAAGCAAGATGGGTGTCATGACGTTTTTTGAAGATGGCCAGGGTGGATGACTGTACCACCTCTGGGGGGAGCCTGGTCCAAACCTTCTGCCCTCAGCTTGTAAAGAAGTTTTTCCTTATGTGTAACCTGAAGTGGTCTTCATTAAGTTTGTGCCCATTATTTCTTGTCCTGCCCTGGGGAGCCTTGGTGAATAGATGCTCCCCCAAACCCTGATGTACTCCTCTGATATCCCCTTGCTAGCACCAAGTCCCCCCTGAGTCTTCTCTTCTCCAGGCTGAACAATCCCAAGTCCCTCAGCCTCTCCTCATACATTTTGGTCTCCAGGACTCTAATCATGTGTGTGGCCCTCCTTTGGACTCTCTCAAGCTTCTCCACATCCTCCTGGAAGTGCTGTGCCCAGAACTGGATTCAGTACGCCATTTCCAGTGTCTCCAAGGCCGAGTAACATGGGCAACTGGTGCCTTGACTGCCTTGAGTTGGGGGGGGCACATGCCTCCCCCCTGCCCGGGACTATTCAGCAACTGGAGGGGTTCCCCCGTAGCCAATAGTGCTCACCAGGGAGGGGTCCTCCCACATCCAATTGGACTGTCCAGGGTGGGGATCCCCTGAAGCCGATCACTCATCAAAATGCGGCCATGACACTTTGGGAGGGACTGCGGGACTTCCAGAAGTGGCCATGGCCACTTCTGCTGGCAGCCCACTCCCCAACCAGCACCACCTGGGAGTGCACCACCTGGGAGTGAAACTGCTTCATCTGGAAGCCCTGTTCCCCAGCTGGTGCTCAAAAGGGGGAACTGGTGCTACGACCTGCACCCCCTGCCCATTGCCTGAGCGCCAAGTGCGGCCATCATGGGGTGCACCAGCACTCTCAGGGTGTACATGTGCACCCCTGTGCATCCCCTACGTGTTGCCACTGCTGAGGAGAGTGGGAGGATGACATCCTTAGCTTTTCTTGAGATGCCTCAGTGGATGCATGCCAGTGTTTGATTAGCTCTGCCAGCTATGGCATCTTCCCTAACCCCACTGTCTCTGTGTTCCTCCCCTGTCCCTGTGTATCCTGGCCCATCCCAGAGGCAGACAGAGCTGGAGAGGCAGTTGGTGGTGTCTGAGTGTGAGGGGCTGCGCCAGCTCCTGGGTGAACATGAGCGCCTCCTGCTGGCCCGGCTGGGAGAACTGGATGCAGAGATAATGAGGAAGAGGGAGAAAAATGCTGCCTACCTGTGCAAGGAGACTGCTCGCCTCAGCTCCCTAATCATGGAGCTAGAGGGGAAGTGTCAGCAGCCAGTGCCTGAGCTCCTGCAGGTGAGACCGCATCAGACGTGCCCCAGTGCTCAGTGATGCAGAGGACAGCTTCCATGTTCCTTTGAAGTCTGGAGGTGACACGGAGAAGAGGGGACAACCTGGGTTGTCTGCAAGGCCCTGCAGCCAGAATGCAGGGAGACAGGGGTGGGCAGGCAGGGAGGTGTGGGGTGGGGGGAGGTTGATTCTGTCCCAGCTCCAGTGTCCTGTGCAGGGGGACAGCCATTTTTACAAAGCAGAACACAAGGGGCTGGGTGGGGCTAGAGCACAGTTAACCAACTTTAAACTGGGTTGAGTGAAATACTCAAATGGACCCTTGGGTCATTCTAACCAATCTGAGAGGTTTATTGATTAACTAATAAAGCCACATTGATAGCAAAGCATAATCTTATGGGATGGGTCTTAACTGCTGTAAAACAAAGCTGGCCAGGCTTGTAGTCTTCATCAGTAGTGGTCCTATAGCAGGTATCACTTAGTGATCCAAGGTTCAAATACAATCCTTTGATTTTTTTTTTTTAATTCTCTTTCTTGATCAAGAGCCTGATGCAGGCTTTGGCTAGACCCAAACCAACCAAATGCCAAATTGTTGTCTTAATCCTGCGGCCCACCTTATCATCTCTGGAGATGCTGATTTGAGTTTGCCCGGCTTGTTATCTTCATTAAGTTCTATCTACTGTTTTCTGGAGATGCTGATTCATGTTTGCTCGATTGACAAGTTTTAGTCAGGCCAGGTCAGCACAACTGGGGCAACTTGGTACATCACGAATACTGAAGGTCCCAAGGTTTTGTGGCTGTGCCTCAACACGTGTGCTGGTGTCAGCCAGATTTTGCTGGTTTATCCTTGTAGCACTGACTCTCTCTTGTGTCTCTTTTCCCCCTCCAGGGTGTCCGAAGCGCAGTAAGCAGGCAAGTCTGTGCTCCACTTCACCTCTCCTGCCCCACTGGCTAATGTCACCCTGTGACCCACCTAGGGGTTGGGATTGCCCTATAGCCATGATCTGATTAAGCCCCTCCCCTGGGGCTGGGCTGGCTCTGGGCTTTTTAGCCATGGGCCTCAGCTGAGACTTGGCCTGTAATGATGAAAAGTTTGTCCTGTCTGGCATGGCTTAGGAGTTTGTGAGGAGAGAACTGCGTGTCCCAGCCCAGGCCCCATTTGGACAGTGTTCCTGGGCAGAAGCCCCACCCACGAATCCCAGCAGGGACTAGGCACCATGGTGCCTGGGATTGAAGCTGAGGAGCAGATAGACCTCAGGAATAGGCCCCTTCCTGTCCCAGGAGCTGCCCCTCCCTCTTCTTTTGGATCCCATGGACCAGGTGATGTATGAGGGAATCTTATCCCACCACTGCCAGGGCTGTTTTTCCTGACGATAGGCTGAGGCAGGGGCCTGTTAGGAATATGAACATCTCCAATCACTGCAGTGCAGCTCTCTGGACAAAAGCCCTGGGACAGACACAGGTTTGGGGTGTTTTTATTTTGCATTTTTTTTTCCAGTTTCCATATTCCTAAACAAATTGGCCAAATCAATTCCAAATCCGTGAGTCAGTCCAGAACCATAAATGGCCCTACTACCAGCAAACATCCTCTACCCCCACCTGGGGCTTCAGATGTTCCCAGATCCTTTGGCAGGTATCCTACTTGCAGGCCCAAGCCTGGAGGCTTGGGGTTCGGATGCCCCCGAGTTTCACTTGCCCGTAGCCATAAGGCCCCAGAAGCGAGCTATGGAAGAGTATCCTATTTCCATAAAGTGGGTATAAAGCCAATGTTAACTATGCATTACCTACATGGGTACTATCCCATGCCAGTAGAGCAGTCTTCCCTGGGTGTGACTAGGAAGCCACTGTGGTGATCATGGTATTTCCCCATGTTTTTTCCCAGTATGGATTCTCTTGGTACAATCCCAGTACAGATCCCACTGGTACAAGCTATACAGGGAACAACACTGCTTTGCTAGTGTGAGTTTTAGTTGCATGAAGACTGCTTGTGGGTTGTGCCCTACTTAAAGAGCTGTACTGGAAAGACTTCTCAGTCTGAACATTGCCCACCTATCTCCAGGGCTGGGAACCAACAGACTGCACAGGCAGCACTGACCTGTCAAACAGAGCATCTACTTTGTGGCCCCTGCTCCCACTCAAATCCCTTTGTGGCTTTGAAGATGTGGAAACATCTGGCTGAGGAATGAGAGGACTATTTTCTTGTGTGTCTTTGCAGGGGTGAGGAGGTGATGCCTCTGCATCCAGGCCCCAAGTTCCCTGACCTGGAGAAGAGAATCCAGAATTTCCCCAGGGAGAAAAAGCTTCAGGAAGCTGTGATGGGATTTCTGAGTAAGGGCCACTTCCAGGTTCCTGGTCTCATTATACTGGGGTAAAAGTAGAGGAAGGGGGAGAGGGTTATTAGAGCCCTTGTGTTCAGGTTCCCAGGGGACCAGAGCTGGGTTCAGAGCCCTGTGCCCAAGGCCAGAGTAGCCCAAATCCTGGATAAGCCCTTGGCACCCCAGCTCTCCAGGGTTGCACAGGGTGGACTCCATGGGGATGAGTAAAGCAGAGCACACCATTTGTCATTTAAGATCCATGTGGTTCTGCCTCCCACTCAGGCCCTGGTCACCTTAGTACAGGCCTTGTGCTCTTTTCAGGTCTTAGCTGTACAGAAGTGTCCTCTGTTTGACTCCCTGTGGGATTGTCTGCTGAGTGCCCAGGTCCTGATGCTTAGAGCTGGGACTTTGGAGCCATAGGCCCTAGTCTGAATGGATGAGGACAAGGATGGAGTTGAGGGTTTACTTCTGATAGCTGTTTGTGCTGTTGCATGAATCCCAGACCTGGAGCATTCCCATCAACAGCTGCCAGCAGGTGCCTGGGGAGGGCTGAGGTGACTTCCCTAAGGAACTATAGTGAGTCCTCATAGGGAGGTTTTGGCTGGATTTTGGAGAGCCAAGAAAGCTGTTATAAATTTTGCTCCCAGCCCTGCCTGTCTGCATGCATGGGCTGAGTGAGAGCGCCCCCCCCACCTGCACCTGACCTATGCCAACATCCAGCTCTGTTGGAGGGAGGCCCCCTAAATGCATCTCCTGTGGGGCAGAGGGGTGGGTGGGGGATTCCTTGGGGTGGGTCTTGGCTGGTTGGATGTGATACATTACCACAGAGAGATTTGGGGTTGGTTCCTCAGTGCCCTGGGCCTGATTGATCCCCACTGAGCCCCTGGGATTCTGGCTCCTTGTATATTAGGCCCCATCCTTATTAGCTCTCTAGGGGAATGGCAGCACCTGGGAGAGCCCTGGGACCCCTTACCAGTGCCAGTGTTAAATCAAGACCTGGATGGAGACTAATATTTGGCTTGTTCTCTTTCCTCGCAGAGGGGCTGGCTGCAGAGAGAGGTGAGTCCTGAAGACACATTGCAGGGGAGGAGCAGTGGGCACCCGCTCCTGTGTATGGGGCAGCTCTAGGCTGAGAAATGTGATGTGATCTGCAGAGGACAGAAGCCAGTGGGATACATGTTCCAACAACCTGGGTCAAAAGAGCCAAGGGGCAGTCAAACTCAAGGGGCAGTCAGAGCGTTGCACATCCTTGTCAGCAGTGAGACTGTGAAGAGCTGGGCCCTATGGGGAGAAGTCCTGGGGTGGGGGTGGATAGATGCGTTATTAAATAATAAGGTCTCTGTGTGTCATTTTAAGATTACACCTGTTGGAGACACAATCTTGCTGACATATGGAGGGGCCAAGGAGGGGCTGCCAGGAAGGGAGGGCTGAGAACTGAGACCCCGAACATCAGGGCATGGAGAAGTGATGGCTCCACAGTGACACCAAACCCCTGCTGTTGCTGGATGGGACACTGAGATTTTCCCACCTGGACAAAACCATGGCCCCTTCTCTGGTCCAGGCTGCTGGGGCAGGATTCAGCTGCTGGGAGGACCCTTCCTCCAGACTCCCTATGTAATGAATGTTTCAGTTCTCCATTGGCTGCTGCAGGGATCTGAGGCCAAATGCTGAAGCCCTCCTGCCTCTTCTCTTGCCCCAGCTTCTGGGCAGCTTCAGGGGTTTGGGCGACTAAGGACAGCAGGGCCTGTCCAGTGTCTGTGCATTGGATCCTGCTGTGATGACTCTTCTGTGTGAATTCTCACCTCTCTCTCTGCTGGTTGATTCCAGGATTCAGAAGAGCCCGAGTACATGCAGGTGGGTGACCCTGACCCCATATCAGTGATCCCAGGTCCTTCCTTTTTGAGAGGTTTACTCCCTGCAGCCACTTCTGGCGCTATTGTGATGCCCTACATATAGGTTGTATCCCTGTGACCAGCACTAATCACTGCATCCCTGCTGCCTTCTGTGTGCCCTGGGTCCTGGGCGAGGCTGTTTTCTGGGCCATGTTGGCTCCAGACCCGGGGGTGTTTGGGGATCCTCAGTCCATCTCTTCGGCATTACCTGAGCTGTATGCACCAGCTGTTTTTTACTACTCTTTGTTTATTCTGCCCATGCCGTGCCCACACACTGACCAGAGGTCAACAATATCTATCTTGGTAGACCTGTGCATGGCTTTGGGAAGATTGATAGGTCAGTCCTGAAGAGGTTTTGATGCTCCAGGTCATCTCTGTGGTGCATTCTCACAAATGGGGTGGGGCCTGCAGGGAAACCTGATGTTTCCTACTCCTCACATGCATGCACACACTGTGCTGTGCAGAGCTGTCACTATCTTTTCTCATGGGTCAAATGATCCTGGAGCCATGTTGATTGTCAGGAGGGTCTGCCCTGGGCCAGTCTGCACCCAGATCAAGGTGTGAGAGCTGGAGCCCTGTGGGCATCCCCAGCTCTACTGGTATCTGTTACCAGGCAGAGGATGGTGCAGGGATTCTCTTGGGCTCAGAGCTGGGATCTCCTGGTATTTTCTTATTCCCTGGGGCTCAGAGCTGGGATCTCCTGGTATTTTCTAGTGGTCAGCACTTCAGTAGTCTCAGCATGGTCCAGGAGCCCATCTCCAACTAGGAGCCAATGAGATTTCTACTTCTAAATTGCTCATATGGATTTGAAGATCCCCACATATCAATGCAGCATAGAGATGGGACTGTCAATACTTGGAGGGCAGGAGACTCCCATCCCAGCAGTGTCCCAATCCCAGGATGTCCCTGGCCCAGTGCATCTGTCCTAGTGCAGACCCCTAGGGCACATATACGGTATGGGAATGCACTGGGACAGGTCCCTGGTGTATCTGAACCAAGAGGGAAGGGGCAGTCAGTGGATAAATGCCTCCTCTCCCTCGGTGCCCCAAACTCATTAGCAATGGGCACTTGTGCTTAGTTGCATTTGTCAATGCTCCCCTGAAACGAGTGGGGGCAGCTCAGATGTATGGCCCTGCCCTGGGCTTGGCTCTGTTAGGGAAGGATCTGGCTGTGGGGTTACAGCTCTATGCCCATAAGTTTGGGGGTATGGAGGGTCCCAGGTGGGGCAGAGCAGCCCAGCCTGGGGTGGGGAGGGGCAGGGCACCAACCTGCTGTTATGACATTATTTCATGTCCCTCCCCATTCCTAGGTCTTGGCCAGCCCCCACCCAGTGACACCTTCCTCTCTTTTCACTCCTCATGGGTCCAGCACCAGCCCCTCTTGCCCCCAGGAATGAACAAACTAGTGGCAACATCCCACTTTGCCCCTGAAGCCACCTCCTGTTTTCCCCATTTTCCCTCTGGGTGACAGTGATTTCCCAGGCAGGGACTGAACTATGGTTCCTGGGGATGCAGATAATTCCCTGTGATCTCATGGACCTGCCTGCTCTGCCCCTAACCTGTGACTCTCTTCCACAGTGGATGTGACTCTGGACCCAGGCACAGCTTATCCCGAACTCATACTGTCTGAAGATCGGAAATGTGTGAGACACGGAGACACACAACAGGACCTACCCAACAACCCTGAAAGATTTGATACTTGCCCAGAAGTCCTGGGCTCTGAGAAGTTCACAGGCGGGAGGTACTACTGGGAGGTGGAGGTGGGAGACAAGACATGCTGGGCTCTGGGTGTGTGCAGGGAGTCTGTGCACAGGAAAGGGCTGGTCACACTGTCACCTGAGGATGGGTACTGGGTCATGTGGCTGCGAGATCAGAAATTCAAAGCCCTCACCACCCCCCCAACTCGCCTCCCCATGCGCCTGTGGCCCAGAAAGGTGGGTGTTTTCTTAGATTATGAGGTGGGTGAAGTCTCATTTTACAATGTGACTGATGGGTCCCACCTCTTCACTTTCACTGAAACCTTCTCTGGGACCCTGCGCCCATATTTTTATACTGGTCTCAGTGCTGGGGGCACCAACGCAACTCCCCTGATCCTGTGCCCAGTCCCAACCAAGCCCTGAGACAGGGAATCCCTGTCATCGCCATGGCACACATGACATAGACTGTCCCACCCCAGCTGCCTAACTGCCAGCCCTTGGGTGCTCCCAAGGTTGGGGTGGGTGAAGCATGGCAGGGCTGGGCTGGGGTTTCCCAGTCACATAAACTGCTTCAGCTTGCACCCTGCTGCTGCCCTATGCCCCAGGGCTTATTTCTCAATCCTCACACTCACAGCACCACTAACTGGGAGGGACAATCTCCAGATTGCCATCCTTCACTTGTAGTTCCATCTCCAGATTGTCGCCCTTCACTTGTAGTTCACTGCAGTTCCTCTGGGTTTATTACTTTGTTACTCTGTTCATCCCTTTCAGCATTGTCCTTCATCTTCTGTTCTTTCTCTCTTCCCCATCTTGTATTAACAAAAAAATGTTGGGCAGCTTTCTCTCTGCATGTCTTCACAGCATCTGGTGACTGCTCACTTACAAAAGCTGATGCATATCAGATTCAGTATGTCCAGTGGTGCTCAAAGTTTCTGGTATGCTGGTCTGAGTCTAGGGCCTAGGGTCTAGGGCCATGTGTGAGATCCGACTGGGCAAGTGTCTCTGTATCCAACATGCGTAACATGATGCCTGAGCACCCTGGGTACAGTGAGGCCTGGGGGCAGCATCACTTGCTGTGCTTTTTCTTCCCCCCAGACCTTGCTGAGCTTCATGCCTAGAGGACATGCCCCAGTCATCCCAATTCCTCATACTACTGCATGGGACGCCACTCAGGTCCAAAAACAGTTTTGGAGCTGTCAGTGAAGCAGCTGCTACCACTCACCCACTGTCAAGTTTATGGGAACTGTGGGAATCCCCGTGAGATGGATGATGTGGCTTTGCAGGCCACATCTAGCCCATGGGCCAAGGTTGAAACATCCTGAGAGTATGTAGCAGAAAGCCCCCCTTTTCCTGTTGCCTGCATTTGCTCTCCCCTCTGGATATGTTTCTCTTCTTCTACCTTTTCTTCCTTCCTCTTTCTTTCACTATAAGATAAGGAATTGTGTTTTAAAGTTTGTATGCGTGCATTTTGTATCTCCCCTTGTATTTTGGTATTTTTATCTGTGTGTGTGCCATGGCATTACTCTTGTAGCTTATATTTTATACTCTTCACCTAAATGTATTTAGTTTCAGAAGTAAGTTATACATTGTAACAATGTTAACAAGGGCAGGAATAAAACTGCTGCTTCCCTGTATCAGGCGGGCCCCTGAAAGAGTGAGTGAATCAGTGATTGAATGTGTAACACACTAGCAGGCTTCAGTAACAAGGGTCAATTAACACCTACGGAAACCACAGCTCAACCAATGGAAGAAATCAATAGGAGACAATGTAGCAACCAGGAATTCTCTAAACTTCACTGTTCAAGGGCTAGAAGCCCCGGTCTGAGTTAATCAATGCCGGGGACCAACTTTTGGGGATGAATATCTCCAGATCAACTGCTCCCAGAGCCCTATTCATGACAGCAGTAAATTAATCAAAAGTCATCAATGGACTCCCAAACCTGCACGTACATGTGGATGACCCCTGGGGCTGACAGATGCCATCCAGTAGCCACCGAGGGGGAAGTCTCACAAGGGTCAAAGACCCCTGGATTGGGCAAACCTGAAAACTAGGGAGTCACCAAAGTCTGCCAAGGACAGATAAAAATCAGTGAAAAGTGACCCTCAGGGGTGCTCTCTTGATTTCCAACTTGACCGGCACCCAACCTGTCCAGCCAGAAGGACCAGCCGGTGACCCCCTTCTGGAGGATAACACCACAGTGGAAGGAGCCTCGACAGGCCATAAATGGCAGACTGCAGCACCTGTGGTATAGGTATACCTGACTCTTGTAGCTCGCTACTGTGTGTGTGTGTGGGGGGGAACCAGCCCCAAGGTTTATGATTTGACTTAGTTACAGTGTTTCAATCCACCTAATAAACCAGAATTTTAAGGATCCTGAGTTGGACATTTGTAGCCAACAAGTATAAGGTGCATCTCTACTCCATCTTCTGCCTCACTTGAGACGAACAAGGCTAGCTATGTCTCTCAGTCTAAATCAGTGGTTTTCATTGGGAACCTGTATCTTGCCCAATGTCTGCTCCAACCAGCTATTAGCACACATTGGAACAGACTCAATTAATTGAGTCTGCAGGCGAGTACTAACTAGCATGCTCTAGCAGGCTCCACATCATGTGTACTGAGTGTACCCATGCTTCAAAATGGTGGTGGGCACTTTAAACCTTCTCAAATAAGCTTCATTTAAAGTTCTCCTGCTGACATTTTGAAATGTGGGGACAGTAAATACATGTGACACTGGGGGTGCTTTAATTAGTGTAACTCTCGGGAGGTGGAAGCACGTGGGTGGGCAGGTACAAAGTGCCACCACCTCCCAGTAGTAGGGCTGGGAGGAGTGAGGGCAGGAGTTGTCAACGCCCTGGGGGTACTTGGACCGGTCCTAGGGGTTATGCATGAGTGGGTGGCGATGGATTGAGCAGGGGTGCTGTCAGTTGGCAGCCTGGCACAGTGAAAGGGTGCTTAGGGCCAGGCAAGTCTCTGGTCAGAGATGTGCAGGAGAATCCCCCAGTGGTACAGACACATGGTCTGGGGTGGCCCAAGAAGAATTTGTAGCTATAATCCAAGCTCAGAATCCAGTTCCTTATTCAGGTCCATGTATTTACCACAGTGGCTGGGGGGCTGTCAGTTCATAGCCTGGCACGACCAAACCATGCTTTGGGCCAGGCAAATCTCTAGTCATATGTATTGGGTAGAGTCCCCCGGTCATGCAGAGGTATTCTGGTGGGTGACCCAAACAGATTTTCTAGCCAATATAATCCCAGTCCAAAAACCAGTTCCTTATTCATGCCATTATACTTAGTATAAGGGGCATGGGAACTATCAGTTGGCAGCCTGGCATGGCCAAACCATGCTTTAGGCTGGGCGGGACTGTGGTCAGGGTTCTTTGGGACAGTGCCCAGTAGCATTGACAGGAAGTCTGGGGTGTCCAAGAAGTATTTTTCCCCATAATCCCATCCTAGTCTGACCTTCATTTAGGGCTCTGTACTCAATGTGGGATATTATTTTACATATTAATGCATAGCTAATGAAATTCTCTCTATTTAGGATGTGTAATTCATTAATAAAAAGCTTTTATTGGGTCTAGATTAGCTTTGAAAAAGGAACTGGGAACCGGGAATAAGGATCTGGGAATAAGTAATCAATTTCAGCCTCATGGCAGTCTCTGGGGTGTTTTTGCACAAAAACACTTGTGGGTAGCCCAAAGGGTACCCTGCACCCAGTTCCCTGTGCAACCAGTGTGCTGCCTGAAGGGTCCCACCACCCCTTTATCCAGCCTTGGGAGATGCTTGTGTACACTGGGGGAGCCCTGTGGGGCTTTGCATTGAAAGGTTTGGCACCAAAAAAAGCGCCCAAGACCCCTGTGCTAGGGGATAGCTTTGCACAGAAAGATTTCATGCCCCAGCCCCCGAGTGCCCCGGGCAACTTGCACCCAGGAAAAGAGAGTGGCAGAAGTGCTGCCGCTGGGTGTTTCTTGTCCTAAAGCACTGCCTGGCAGCAAGGTAAGACTGATAGGGAATGAGAATAAAATTGTTCTGACATGCCCTCTAGTGCTTTTTACTAGTCATAGTCCTTACATGGTAAATCACAACCACGTTACTCATGTAGCCATTTTAAACTGAGACAGAAAAATTAAACCATGAACATTTTTAGCGGCTAAATGCCAAGTACATGTACAAGGGACCTAGATTAGCAGTCCATTGCCTCCGCCACACCATCACATTACATACTTCCCTAGCACTCTAGGTTGTAGATTTGGTGAGGGCACAAAGC